CACAATGGAGGCCAGATTCACCTTGAAACGCCTCTGGGTTAGTTCTATCGTGTGATCATCGATACGGTACATCTCGACAACAGGATAACCCATCTGAAAACGACCACGTGAAAATCGAGTAAAAGCAAAACAATTGAAAAACACGCATGAAAATCGTTCGAAGACAACAAACGCAACAAATAAACAGAAGACAAAGAATCGCATCCATCTTAGATTTTTCGAGGAACTTTTCTCTGGATAATTTTCTTCATTCCGAAGTTAGGAAGATGGTCAGTTATAGACTATTTCCCGAAAAAAAACACTTCGTCTGCTTCCGTTCCCGTGGTCTCAACGAAAAAGAAATAGGTGTTAATATTTCCCAGGACTTCTGTGACACCTTCTAAGCACTGGTACAAAACTGGTTCATCTCTGTTACTTGTATCTTCTAACCAACAGAAAAATAAGCAATCAACAACTCACTTGTTTGATCCATTTGTCCATAAAGTCGGTCACGTTGAGTTTATCACCATCCCACGATTTCATCTGGAACTGATAGTTTAGTGCCCTGGTATAATATGGACGAAAGGTCAGAAGATCAGGGCACGCCATCGCGTTGTGATCCTCTGATACGAACCCCCCCCCTCCCCATCCTACCTACCACTTTCCTAGATCTTCCCAAGTTCCTACCACTTTTTCCAATTTTTCCGGCACTCCCCCAAAAAGTCTTAGTTTTTCTCAAATTTTTGCTGTGGAGCGGAGGATGAGGAAGGTGTATAACACCAGTGAAACGGGAAAAATCGCAAAAAGTCAACAACCAAGAAAAATTTCCCCCAACGCCGCAAATTCCACTCAACTCCCTCTCCGCAATCGACAAATACCGACCCCACCCTTAATAGCGTTCCGAGAACAAAGCGAAAAATCAGATCTATAAAAAATTTTTTTTTCCCAGACCAGATTCGACCCCCCCCTCCTCCCTCCGCGTCAAATCGACTCCCTTCTTCCAACAGTGGTGATTGTCGACAAACGCCATTGGCGTGCCCTGCTGAAGACTCTCCATGAGCCTCGCTCCAAGAGGGTTCTTCTAAAAATGCTAGATACTAACATTTGCCGGGATGACTTTGTTCCACGCGTCCCACAAAATTCAACTGTGCGTTTGTATCATCGTCGGTGATGAGCCTTGAGGAAAGTCCTTGAAAATATTAAGCAGCGACAATTATAGCGGGGCTAGTGGGAAATCAGTCATGATTAAGCCAGACTTTTTGCTCCAAATCGATGAAAAACACTTCAAAGTCACATGTTAACCCGACGACCTTGCCTAAGCTATGGAATATTCATTCATGAATTACAAATAAACCAATTTCAAATGAGTCGGGGTGGACAGCCTGCGCCCATACCCCGTGAAAGACAAACAGAAAGTGAAAAAAAATGACTTTTCAGCTCCGTTCTTAGGCCTATGAAAACAATCCAGACGTAATCTGTGGGCGAACAATCAACGCCATTTACGAAAATCTGTTAGGGCTCCTTATTAGGAGGCCTCAATCTGCGCACGTTATCGCTTCCGAATAGGATGCGTCTGAACACAGTGACCGCTCCCTCCACCACAAGAATTAGCGTGGATCCGCCAGCCAAAGTGGAAAAGCCGAACTGACTTGGGAGACATTAGTAGTTGGATCAGGGCCTTTCTATCGTCAAACTTGGTTAGGAAAAATACTTTGTGAAAAAACTTTGAAAAAGGTTTGGGAGGCATGAGGGTTTTTGAGTTTAGGGAGTTCGTAGAGAATCTGTGCAGAGCATAGTTCCTTTGAAACAAACTTGGAACAGACAAGATGGATCAAGCCCGCCGAGACGTCAGCTTCCCCCCTATATGTTCAAGAACATTCTATTAGAAATGACCTCACGCCACGCCCTATATTCAACGACTGAATTTGAAAGATGCATGACTGGAATTGTTCAGGTCAGAGTTCAACACTCTTCAAGGAATTTGTAAACAAATATCGTTACAGATGGAGAGTTTGTACTCACATATTCAGAACTTCGTAAATTCTTACCTGAACACCACGCAGGAAATTACCTTCTCCAATCACCTCTTTAAACATACGGAATAGAGCAGCTCCCTGGAAGAACGATTCGGTATCTTGGTTCGAGGAATCAATACTTTGGACCTCTCGGGTTCAAGACTGAACCTTATATTCATGGGCCGCGTTCATACTTCACCACTCCAGCGTTTCTTGCGACTTGACCGGCCGCTGTCCACTGCTAAATATTGGGCCGCTGTAACCAGGGTACAGCATCGCGATGTGTGAGGAGGTACGACCCCCCCTCCGAGAGAGGGTGTCAGTACGACCCCCCCCACCTAAATGAGGGTCTCGGTACGACCCCCTCTTCCCCAACACCTACCTACAATTTCCCCCATTTTCCAGTTTTTTCACCCAAAGGTTTTCGGTCGAGGGGGGATATATAGCCAGTGTGAAACGAGTGAACTACCCCAACT